CATCAAACAGGGGCAGAGTCCTCCAGAGGAGTCGAGAAACCTGGCTTAGGCCCCCCGAAAGGCGGGACCTTCCTTCGGGCCCTTTTCTGCTTGTTTTTTTTTTTTTTTTTTTTTTGCTATGACAGTGGAGGGGGAAGAGTTACTGGGGTTCCCGGAGAGCTTTCCAGCGCTGCCAGGGAAAACCCCTAATCCCGCCGGCTGAGGTGGAGCCTCCGCGGCACCGGCAATAGGGACGCGTCCCCTTTAAGGCGCCAGCTCGCCGGCGCCGGCGGCGGCCGGAAGTGTGGAAGCCCGGCCTGGCGGCGGCGGCGACGGGCCCAACCGTGGCGGCCTGTGCGCATGCTCCGTCGCCCGCCCGCCCTGGCCGCTCGCCGCCCGCCCGCCCGACGGAGACGGTGAGGAGGGGGAGGGGTGGGCGCGCGGGCGCGGGGCGGGGTGGGGGCGGGGGGCGGGCGCGGGGGCCGCGCGGCGGCCGGCGAGGGCGGGCGGGCGGGCGCGCAGGGGGCGGGGGGCTGCTGCCTCCGCGGGCGCCTCCCCACGCCCCGTGCGTGCCGCCGCCGCCGCCGGGGAGCGAGCGGACGTCGCGGCGCCGCGGGGGGGTGGGGGGACGCTGCCGCGGGGGCCGCCCGAGCGGCCGGGCCGCCCCCAAGCGTGGCCGGCCGTCGGCGTGGCTCGGGCTCCGGCCCGGGTGTGAGGGCGGCGGGGCTGACCAGCCGTGGGCTGTGTGTGTGTGTGTGTGTGTGTGTGTGTGTGTGTGACGGGGGACCGGCGCCCCACGACCGAGGGTCCCGGAAGTCCTCGGTCCAAGGGCCAGCAGAGGTCAGGGAGACTCCGGACTGAGATCTAGACGCCCAGGGGATCCCGGGGCGCCCCGGCCCTAGGTGTGGGGATCTGGGTGGGGAGAGGAGGCCTTGGGTCCCGATCGTGGGGAGGGGGGAGAGCGGACGGATGCCTGCCCGGGAGGAGACACCCCCCCTCGGCAGAGCGATGGGGAATAGGGTACCGAGGAAAGTAGGGTACCAGCTTCCCCGGGGGAGGGCGCGGTCGAGGCCCTGGGGCTATCCTGTCAAGGGGACTAGAGCCTGCTGGTTTTCCGATGACGGGGACACTAGGAAGAGGCGCTCCGAGGGGGAAGTGAGCCAGGCCCGGGTCACCCCCAGCTGCGGGGGCGGAAGGAAGGCGAGCTGAGCTGCCCGGAGCCGGAGCGAGGGGCTCCTAACGGGCAGCTGGAGGGGGTGGGGGTGGGCTACTGCGTCACGGGAGGGAGCCACCTGTCTTGCTGCGGGCTGAAGGGTGTGGCTAATGAGAGAAAGGAGGTTAGGGTACTCCTGCTCTAGTAAGTGACCCAGGACTGGGCCAGGTGTCTTGAGGGGAGAGCAGAGTGTTTTGACTAGGACCGCCTATGTGAAGCAGGCTTGCTGGGCTCTTCAAAGAGCAGGGCCAGAGCCCTGGAGTCGGCCCAAAAGGAGAGGATTTTTCAAAACCACTTCCTACTACCACCAACAAGGAGGAAGACTTGGGAGTTGCTGCACGAAGTGTGTTTTTCCTCCTTGCACAGGCACTATTGAATAATGCTAGCCTTAGGGGGATTCTTTCCTAATAGTTACCAGCGTGCTTTTGCAGACTGGTTGCTTAAATTCTTGGATTTTCTCCCACATGACAGCTCTGGGTGTGTTAGCTGTGCTTACTGTCTACTGACCTAAGTGAGTCTCACATTGTCAGTGAGGCAGCTTGAATCCCACTTTGATTTTGCCCTAGGCAGGAGTCCCCTCAGTTGACTCTGAAGAACTCTCTTATCCTAATGTCTTCCCTCAGCCCCCCAACACCCACATAGGCTTTCTCCATCCTGTGACATACAGGGACTTCCTATGCTCTGGGGACCTCCTGCCGTGTGCTCCTGTGTAATCTCTTGGCTTTGTTACATCCAAATCACGTAGCAAAAGCATGAGAAGGATCAGGGCCAGGCAGGGGAAGCCAAGTTTTGGCTTTTAAGTAGTGAGAAGTTTTAATCTGAACATTTCTTGAGACTAAGCACAATCCACAAAAGTTCTAGTGGAGTGTGGAATAAACAAATGATGCCATTAAGAAATTTCAGATTATTTGGCATTTATTGTTTTCAACTACCAGTTGGGTGTTCCTGCAATCATGTTATGTTTATTTTTACTTCCAACATAGAATGCTACCATGTTTGAGACATTGTCAAGACACAAATGAGTCATCCAAATAGGTCAAGTGTCATTTTAGTTTTCTGAAAGCATATGTGAGCTCATATGTTTGCTTTGAGCACACCTTTAATTTTTTTTGAAATAACAATATACCTTTTATTAAAAATTGGCATATTTCTGTGTGTGTGTGCATTCTCTGGCATGACAAAATGGTGTGATTTCACCAGGTATAGTTGAAAGTCCCTTCCACAAAACAGCCAGAGGACCCACTCAGTCATCTTGTCTCCAGAGCTTTTGTTGCTAGCAACTAGGGCTGCTTTGCAGTTTACACTCAGCTCCAAGAGATGACCTTGCACTTAGCCCATGTAGTCTACAGAGCTGGTTTCTGGTTACCCGCTAAGAATATAGTATCTAGGGTAATGAGAGATATTCAACCCAAACCTGCTTCTCTAAAGAATGGAGGAATTGCCGCGTTAAAACAGACATTTGGGGCCCTGCATGGTTGCCACGTTAAAACAGACATCTGGGGCCCTGCATGGTAGCCTTATGGCTAAAGTCCTTGCCTTGCACACACCAGGATCCCCTGTGGGCACTGATTCATATGTCAGTGGCCCTGCTCCCATCTAGCTCCTTGATGTGGCCTAAGAAAGCAGTCGAGAATGGCCCAAAGCCTTGGGACCCCCGCACCTGCGTGGGAGACCCGGAAGAGGCTCCAGGCTCCTGGCTTTGGACTGGCTCAGCTCCGGCCGTTGTGGCTACTTGGAGAGTGAATCAACAGTCTCTCTGTGTATCTAACTTTCCAATAAAAAAAAAATCTTTAAAAAATGATAAACCAGACATCTGTCTCTGACATTGAGCATTATGAATGATTATTGTTGTCTTCTCTAATAAACTCTGAGAAGCTTAGAGGAGCATCCAGCACATTCCTTCCGGGTGCCCAGGCGTGGGAGGGGTTGGGAGTGAAATAGGAGTTCCTACTGAGGAAACATTAATCAAGTTAGTCAACCATGTATTTCAGAATGCCGTGGAGAGGACTCAATCTTAGGGTGGAAGATTGAAATGAACAACATCCTTCTAATTCTGCTGCTGTAACTTATTAATTTACCTAAGCCACTATTTTAAAATTTAGAACACTTTTTTGAATAATAGTTATATCAATTTATGAACTCCAAAAAGTTGCTTTAAAAAGGCTTGTATTTCGCATGCAGTAAATTCATAGAATAATTCTTACTCTAAAAAAGTACTTTCAAGAAATTTAGAAATCAGTGGCTTAGGTAAATTAACAGAATATACCAGCCAGAATTAGAAGGATGCCTGTAACAAATTTTGCACTCTAAGGGTGCGTCCCCTTTGATGGTCTGCAGAAGTGACTGACTAACTTCCTGATTAGTATGTTTCTCAATAAGAAACTCATTTTATTCCTTACCGTCCCAAACCTTGAAACCAAAGAAAAATGTTTGCTACGGCTCTTCTCACAGTTTATTAGAGGAGATTATTTAAGTTAATTAAATGTGTAATACTAAAAAAACAGTGTTTAACAATATCCAATTCATGTTAGCTTGATTGTTTTTTTAAAATTTTCAGATTATTTACTTATTTAAAAGAGTGACAGAGACAGATTTGCTCCACAGATGCCCACAGTAGCAGGAGATGGGCCATTATGAAGCCAGGAGCCAGGAACTCCATCTGGGTCTCCCACATATCTGACAGGAGCTCAAGTACATAATATCTGACTTTGCAATTACAAAAAAAATTTTTAAAAATCTGTTACTTTGTTATTTTGCTTATTTATTTGAAAAGGCAGATTTTTTTTTTTTGGTTAAGATTTATTTTTATTGGAAAGTTACATATACAGAGAGAAGGAGAGACAGGGAGAAAGATTTTCCATCCGTTCATTCACTCCCCAAGTGATTGCAGTGGCTGGAGCTGAGCTGATCCAAAGCCAGGAGTTAGGAGGCTGTTCCAGGTCTCCCACGTGGGTACAAGATCCCAAGGCTTTGGGCCGTTCTCGACTGCTTTCCCAGGCCACAAGCAGGGAGCTGGATGGGAAGTGGAGCAGCCGTGATTAGAACCCGTGCCCATGTGGGATCTCAGCACGTGCAAGGCAAAGACATTAGCCCATAGGGAAAGATATTCTGTAGCTGTTTCATTCTCAGATGCTACAATAGCCAGGAATAGGCCAGTTGGAACCAGTAGCCAGAAATTCCATTCAGACCTCCCGTATGGGTGGCAAGATCCCCAGTACTTGGGCCTTCAGTCGCTGCCTCCAGATGCATTAGCAGGAAGCTGGATCGGAAGTGTGAAGTAGTTGGGAGTTGAACCAGGCGCTCCATGTGGCAGCCAAGTACCTGCCCTACTCTGAGCTGCATTAAAATCAAGGTGTGCCTAGTGCGAGGCACTGCTTTCCTCTGCAGTTTTCTGAAGGAGGTGTCAGCCAAGGTCGTCTCGCTGCTCATTCTGAGACAAAAGGGCATTAGAAAGGCCCTAGGAAAGCAGACACTGTGGCACAGCTACTTAAAAAAGAACAAAAAGAAGTATTTCCTAGAGGTCATATGTAAATTGAATTCAGCCTTCATTAGAGATCTAAGGTACGCAAGCCATCTTACCCTTACCATGAAGTTCAGTTTAGTTAATTCACAGATTCTTATTTTCTTAATTGTAAAGATTTGTTTATTTGAAAGTTCCAGAGAGGGTGTGGTCTTCCGTCCTCTGGTTTGCTCCCAAAATGGCCACATGCTGGAGCTGGATCAATCCAAAGTCAGGAGCCAGGAGCTTCTTCTGGGTCTCCCACGAGCTGAATGGGAAGGGGAACAGCTGGGACGTGAACCGGCACCCATATGGGATGCTAGCACTTAAAGCTGGAGGATTAGCCTGCTGAGCCATGGTGCTGGCCTTGCACCAGTCCTTCTTCCACGACAGAACACTGATGGGGTATCATGAGTGATTGGACAGAATATAGACAGGATTTCTGCTGTCCAGGACCAGTGGGATGAAACTATCAGTGACTAGAATCATTTTTTAGAAAACAAATAAGCAAAGCCTGGTTTGTAGTGCTTGTCAATTTCTGTGATGTGTGTATTTCTCACATCACTGTCTCAGTCTACCAACTTGATGTCCCCAAACTCAGCACTGAGATGAGAGGCGGACAGTCAGTTCTCCAGAGCTTATAGAGTTGGCTCCAGCTCATCACTGGATGAATCACACGTTCTGAGAAAATCTACAACAGCAAGTGAGTGCTAAGGCATTCCTGAAAGATGAGAACTTATGTCAGCCCCTTCTCATAGTTCCTGTCCTTTTCAGAGGGTCGTGACTTTTGGGGTAGAGGTGGCAGTTGTTGCCTTGACATTGCTTTCCTGTGGTTGCCATCTTTTCAAACTAGGTGAAGTTACCGGTGCTTCTTGTTTCTGACAGCAGTCCCCTCTATTGGACTTCATGTGAAAGATGGCTAATGCGGAAGTGAGCGTCCCAGTGGGGGATGTGGTTGTGGTGCCCACCGAAGGAAATGAGGGAGAGAACCCCGAGGACACTAAAACCCAGGTGATCTTGCAGTTGCAACCTGTGCAGCAAGGGTAAGTGGCTAGAATATTTGGATTTCCTGAAACTCTCGGGGAGGGTGTTTTCGCTTTTTTAAAAGATTGATTGGTTTGAAAGTGTAAGAGACAGAGGAAGAGGAATCTTCTATTCACTGTTACGCCCCCAATGGCCACAGCAATTCTCCATCTGGGCTCACTTGGGTGGCAGGAACCCAAGTAGTTGAACTATCATCCACTGCTCCCAAGTATGATGGCAGGAAGTAGAGTAACTGGGCCTCAGGCCGGACCTCAGGCTGGTGCTCCAGTGTGGGCTGCAGGCAGCTTAGCTTGCCAACTATGCCATAAAGCCCTTCCCTACTTTCTGTTTTTCTTTATTCTTTTCTTTTTTCTTTTCCGTCCTTCCTTCCTCCTTCCCTCCCTCCCTTCTTTCCTTCTTCCTTTCCTTCCTTCTTCCTTTCCTTCCTTCCTTTATTTTTTTTTAAAGATTATTAATTTGAAAGGCAGAGTGAGAGAGAATCTTGCATCTGCTGGCTCATTCCCCAAATGGCTGCAAGTGCCAGGACTGGACCAGGCCAAAGCCAGGAGCCAGAAAGCTCTTCCAGGTTTCCCACAGGTATGAAAGAGACTCGAGTGCCTGAGTTATCGTCTGCTGCTTCCAGGCACTTTAGCAGGGAGCTGGATTGGAAGTGAATTAGCCAGGATCTGGAAGATGCTCTAATCTGGGATGTCAGCATCCCAAACAGTGGCTTGACCTTTTGTACCACAACATGAAGTGTTGGAAGAAATATATAGCACATTGGTTCTTAACATTATAGGATTTGCAGTTTAGTTGTAAAAATAATAATAATAAAAAAAATACAGGGGTTGGCGTTGTGGTTTAATGAGTAAAGCCTTTGCCTGTAACACTGGCGTCTCCCAATGTTTCAGTGCTGGTTTGAGTCCCAACTGCTGCAGTTACAATCTCTGTTAATGTGCTTTGGAAAGCAGCAGAAGATGGTTCAGGTCCTTGGCCCCTGCATCCCTGGCTGCTGGCTTCAATCCTGCCCAATCTTAGCTGATATGGCCATTTGGGGAGTGAACTATTTGGAAGATGGCTTACTCCCCCCCACCCCCCTCTCTCTCTTTGTAACTACTTTTCAAATAAATAAAGATTTCAAAAAGTACATATATGAGGGAGGATTGAAAAAGAGTTTGTGGGAATAAGTGTTTGGTGCAGCTGTTAAGATGCTATTTGAGATGTCCATTCTTTTTTGGGGTTCCTGGGTTCAAGTCCTGGCTCTAGTGCCAATTCTAGTTGCCTTGCTGGAAGGCAGCAGATGGTGGTCACGTGAACAGGTCCCTGCCACCCCTGTGGGAGACTTGGATTGAGTTCTTGGCTCCTGGCTGTTGCTGCTCAGTCCCAGCTGTTGTAGGTGTTTGGGGAGTGAATCGGTCGGTAGGAGACCTTTTGCTGTCTCTGTCTATGTTCATTTCACATGAATCAGTAAAAAGATGATATGCATTTTTTGTTTGCTTTTTGAAGCAATAGAGATTACCTATATGGCAAAAATCTGAGAAATGCTGAAGCACTTAGGAAGTGCTTTGTAGCTCACAGGAACACTGATTTTGGAAGAATTGTATTTAAAAGGCAGAATAACAGGGAGAGCAGGAGAAAGAGAGAGAGAATGCAATATCTTCCATCCAGATGCCTGCAGTTGCTGGGGCTGGGTTAGGTCAAGATCCTTCCTGGGCTCTGACAGGCATGACAGGGATCCAAGTGCTTAGCCCATCATCCACTGCTTCCCAAGGTGCCAAAACAGGAGGCTGGATGGGAAATGCTGATGGGCCTCAGTTCCAGGTAGGTGTTCCAGCAGTGACTTAACCTGTGTGTCACAACCTGCTCCAGTAATTTCTTTTAAAATGTTTATTTATTTCCAAGGCAGACAAACAGAGGCAGATACTCAAAACTAGACAGACATGAGAAATTCTGTCTCCTGGTCCATTCCCTGTGCCCATGATGGCCAGGACTGGGCTAGCTGAAACCAGGGACCACGGACTCAATCCAGGACTCCCACATGATTGGCAGGAACCTAATTTATTTCAGCCATCACCTGCTGTCTGCCTGGGTTTATTTTGCTAGTAAGCTGTACCCTCTGATAGGAAATGTGGGCATCTTTTTATTTTCTTTTAAAGATTTTTTTTTTAATATTGGAAAGGAAAATTATAGAGAGAAGGAGAGACAGAAAGGTCTTCCATCCACTGGTTCACTCCCTTTTTCTCCCTCTTTCTGTGTAACTCTGCTTTTCAAAAAAGTGTATCTTTTAAAAACTAAGTAAATAAATGGCTGTAATGGCCAAGGCTGGGTCAGGTTGAAGTCAGAATCCAGGAGCTTCCTTCCTCTGAGTCTTCCACATGGGTGCAAGGTGCCCAAGAACTTGGGCTATCCTCTACTGCTTTCCCACCTGCTTTAGCAGGGAGCAGCTTCTTTTTTTTTTTTTTTTTTTTTTTTTTAAAGATTTATTTTTATTATTTTTTTATTGGAAAGGCGGATATACAGAGAGGAGAGACAGAGAGGAAGATCTTTCCGTCCGATGATTCACTCCCCAAGTGAGCGCAACGGGCCGATACTATGCCGGTCCGAAGCCAGGAGCCTCTTCCGGGTCTCCCACGCGGGTGCAGGGTCCCAAAGCTTTGGGCTGTCCTCGACTGCTTTCCTGGGCCACAAGCAGGGAGCTGGAAGGGAAGCGGGGCCGCCGGGATTAGAACCGGCGCCCATATGGGATCCCAGGCGTGCAAGGCGAGGACCTTTAACCACTTGCGCCACCGCGCCGGGCCCTTCTTTTTTTTTTTTTAAGATTTATTTATTTATTTTAAATATTAATTTTTATTCGAAAGTCATAGAGAGAGGAGAACAGAGAGGAAGATCTTCCATCCAATGATTCACTCCTCATGAGGCTGCAATGGCTGAAGCTATGCCAGTCCGAAGCCAGGAGCCTGGAAGCTCCTCTGGGTCTCCCATGCTGGTGCAGGATCCCAAGGCTTTGAGCCATCCTCGACTTTTCCCAGGCCACAAGCAGGGAGCTGGATGGGATCGGAGCTGCTGGGATATCAACCGGTGCCCATTTCAGATCCTGGCACATGTAAAGCAAGGACTTTAACTACCTGGCTACCGTGCCGGGCCTCTTTGGGGTTACTTTAGACATTGTGAATTCGCATAGTCCCGTGGGATATCCAAATGTCTTTATCTATCTAGCTAACCTGTGTCCTTTGTGAAATTCAGAGGGGAGATATGTTCTAAAGGTGTGTCACTTGAAGGTAGACAATTACGTGACGAAGATTATTCAGGGAGTGCTTTTAAATAATTAAATAACGTGCAAAAAACAGCACATTGGGCTATTACAGAAACTAAAGAACGTCAATGGGGCAGGCATTTAGCTTAGAAGTTAAAAGATCCTCATGTCCCGTTTTGAAACACCTGGAGTTAAGATCAGGCTCTGATGTCGGATTCCAGCTTCCTGCTAATGCAGACCCTGGAAGGCAATGATGATTGCTCAAGTAATTGGGTTCCTGCTATCCATGTGGGAGATCTGAATTGCATTCCTATTTTCTGGCTTCTGCTTGACTTAGTCTTGGCCACTGTGGCATTTGAAATATGAACCAGTAGGCAGAAGTGCACTCTCCTACGGTCTCTCTCTGTCTCAAGTATAATCAAAACAGAAAAAAGTCATAGTGTATCATGTTAGGTTAAGAGTCCATACATAATTGACACATTTAGAGAATCTGTGACATGTAACCTTCCCTAAATGGTGCCTCTAGTTAATATCTAGTTACTTTGAGTGTAATTTCTCTATCACCTCTCTCTCTTGTTTTGAAAGACAGAGAAAAAGAGAGAGAGGGAGTGATCCTCTGTCAGTTCACTTCCAAAAGCCTGTGGTAGCCTCGGCCCGCTGCAGTTAAGAGCCTTAGCTTCACTCTAGGTCTCCCTTGTGAGAGGCTTAAAGGGGCTCTAGCATTTGAGCCATGTTACTTTCCAGGGTGTGCATTAAGAGGAAGCTGGAATTGGAAGCAAAACAGGGACCCCAAACCAAACTCTCTTAGCGAATGTGGATGTTCTAAGCTTGTTTCAAGTGCTGTGCTAAATGTGCACTTCCTCTATTTTTTCTGCACTAGGCTTTGTTCATGTCAATAGTTTTGTTATTGTGCCTTAGTAAATGCTAAAGCATTTTTTTTAAAGTGCTAGAATCTGGATTCCAGCAAACATCAACAAGCATGATCAACATGTTTTCAACTGTCAGCAATATTAATGTTTAGTCTTGTCAAGTCAGATCCCTGGGGTAAAACTCACTATGTTACCAGCATTGAAAGTTACAAATGGAAGAGTCTGATGAAATATTGTAGCAAGAACTACTTTCTGTTGTGTTGAAGAGAGTTATTCTTTTCCAAGACTGGCTGTTGAGCAGACGTGGGCAGCCGGAAGCAAACTATCTACTCAAAGCACTGATACAGATTGTAAAGTATATTATTTGTTTTGAGATAGATTGAAGCAAATTTTAACCCCATGCTGTGAATATTAATTTTTTCATGATTTATGTAGTTTGTTTATCGATGGACACTTTTACAACAGGATTTATGAAGCTGGGTCGGAAAACAACACGGCAGTTGTAGCAGTAGAAACTCACACGATACACAAAATTGAAGAAGGGATTGGTAAGCCTCTTTGTTACTCTGGTACCTCTGACCTTAGCCTCTTTGTGCCTTCCATTTCCCCCCACCCAGTATGCCTTGCTGGTAGCACAGCCATCAGTTGGATAGTAGCATATTGAGGGGCAACGGTGACTAAGATGGTTTAGTAACAGCTTACTAGGGTAGCTGAAAAGATTTTTTTTTTGTCTATAAAAATGGCAAAAAGATTGGAACTTGAGGATTGATTCTGTCATTGGAAAAGTTGCTGATGAAGACTGTTAAGTTACTGACTAGTAGACAGACAGTAAGAAGAAACTTTGGAATTTCACTAACCTGACAGAATTCTGCTTTCTTACATCTTAACTTGTGTGCTCGGGAGTCTCTTTATCTTTCACAGGACCATCCACTTATATATAATGTAAAAGATAACCACTCCTTCACAGGATTATTGTAAGAAATAAGATTAAGTGTGTAGAAGTACGTAGTGGCTTCTGGTGCGTAGTGGGAGCTTGGTAAGAGCTAGCTGTGAGAGCAGACTACCAGAGGATTCCTCAACAGTACCAGCAAGAGTGAACTGTTACCCCACAGAGCATCCAGGAGGCCAGAAACTTGAATTTAAGCTTTAGGGAAGTGATGCTGGGTAAATAACTGATTTCTCCCCTTCCCCCACTTTTAGATGCCAGCACTATAGAAGCAAATGAGGATATGGAAATTGCTTATCCCATAACTTGTGGGGAGAGCAAAGCCATCCTTCTTTGGAAGAAGTTTGTATGTCCTGGAATAAATGTGAAGTGTGTCAAGGTAATTGTCTTTTTTTTTTTTTTCTATTTAAAAGATTCGCTACTAATTTTAAAGACAGACCTGGTAGGAGAACCTTGGGGTTGCCCGTGCTAGACTGCACCTGCTGGTTACAGTGAGAGAGAAAGCTTCCATTAGCTGGCTCACTCCCCAAATGGCCACAGTGAGGGATGGGTCAGGCCAGAACTCGGAACATGGAATGCCACCTCGTCTCTCATGTGGGTGGCAAAAGCCTAAGCACTTGGGCCATCTTCTGCTATTCAGGAAGCATTGGCAAGGTGCTAGATGAGAATTGAAGCAGCTGGAATTTGAACTGGGTTTCATATGGGATGCCAGCATCCCAGATTGTGGCTTAACCTGCTGTCATGACAGCACTGCCTGACTTGGATTTAAGTCTCACTGAGTATAAAACCTGTAAGAGAGAACTTACTTGTTTGCTAGTTTATCCTCAGCAAGAATATGGTGCTTGATATATAGTAAATGATCAACATTTTTTAAATCAATGCGATCCAATCTGTCACTGCACTAGCTAGATGATCTTAAATAAGTTATTCAATACATCAAATCTCATTTGCTAAAACAGAAATAATTGTGTATTATTCTACTATGTAAGACTGCTAGATTAAATACTGTATGTAAAATGTCTTACACTGATGTGCATGGTCATAGTTTATTTGAAAAAGTTATGGACCAATGGGTGGTGGTAGGGTGCCTGCCACTCTACAACGGGTACCATGCCAACTGGGGCTGTGCATTGTACAGGGAGGGCAGTCTGGGAACAGGGCCACTAGGGCTTGTTTGATATGTAAGGACTATTGTACCAGCAGGTAATTTAGGGAGATGAGATGGATGAATCAAATGGGGCAAATTGGAGGACTTCCCTGGGCCAGACCAAGGCGTGTGGAGGTGCTCACAGAAGCTGGGGCTAGGAGGCCAGACTGTATCGCAGCACCTGTCTGTGCTTGCGAGGGCTGTGTTTGAGGGCAGGCATAGTAGGGTTTGTTGAAGTTGTCCTAAGTAGTCCACAGCATCCATGCGCACATATGCCAGTCAGGGCTGGGGGTGGACTACACCTGGCTGGGATAGGCTACAACACCTGCTGGCACACCTAAAAGTTGGAATCAGGGATAGTTTGTGCTGTGTTGGGCTAGGCCACGATGAGTTCTGGCTAGAGCTGAAACTGGGGATGGGCTGGACTGGACTGCGTTGCAGCACCCACCAGTGCACATAAGAACTGAGCATGGGGAAGGATAGAACTGGACTAGGCTGCAGCATCCACTGGGCAAATGCTGGGCTAAGGACAGACCTGGTAGAAGAACTTTGGGGTTGCCCCTGCTAGGCTGTAGCTGCTGGCACAATCAAGATTAGAACTGGAGGCAGTGTGAGCCAGGCTAGGCTGTACATCTGTTGGAATATGTGAACCAGGATGGGGAAGCTAGGCTGGGATAGGCTGTAGCCCCCACCAGTTCACATGAGAGCTGGGTTGCTGGGTTTGGGGACAGGCCTTGCTGGGCTAAGATAGCATTTACTGATTAGTGTTGGGGCTGAGGGTGGGCCATAACTGGGTGGGCTGCAGCATCTACCCACACATGTGAGAACTAGGGCTGGGGGCTGGCCTGATAGGGATTCTTTGGGGTTGGCTGACTACGCTACAGCACCCACCTGTGCATGAGAGAGCTAGGACTGGGGGCAGGCCAGGGCTGGATTTGGCTGCAGCAATCACTGGCGTGTGCTAAGAGTGAGCCTGATGGGGGTTCTTAGGGCTGTTCCAGCTAGGTTGTAGCACTTACTGATTTGTGTGAGTCAGAGCTGGGGGTAGGAATAACCAGCCAGCTACACTCACTGGGATGTGGGTTGCCTGGCACATGGGGCAGGCTAAGCCAGATCCTGTACCAGCTATGCACATGAGAGCCAGATCTGAGAACTCAGGTGAGGTTTTTTAGGGGTCTCCCCAGCTGGACCAATGTACTCCGTTCCTGACCTCAGAGAAATCACAGGCATGTAATATTGGGAGGGCACATTTAACAGAGAGAAGGAGATACAGAAAGATCCTCCCTCTGCTGGTTTACTTCCCAAGTAGCTATAATGGCCAGAGATGAGCCCATCTGAAGCCAAGAGCCAGGGGCCTCCTCCGGGTCTCCTATGCAGGTTCAGGATAACAGGACTTTGGGCCATCCTCCACTGCCATCCCAAGCCACAAACAGGGAGCTGATGGGAAATTGAGCAGCTGGGACACAAACCGGTGCCTATATGGGATTCCAGTTGTGTAAGACAACTATTTAGCCCCCTATCCATCATTTGGGCCCTGGCAAAACACATGTTGTGGTACTGGACCACCTCAGTTGATGTTGTCCATGCAATAGAGAACATACCCAGATACACACAAAAGACAAGATAGCCAACTCATTTAAGCCAAAAGAGGACCTCAAATACTTGTTCAAAGGAAAGGACAAGTTGAACAACATTCTTGGCCAGATTTTACAGCATGTACCTTGGTGAGACACTGAGATGGACATGGACATCCAGCAGCCCTTAAAGTGTCTCACTTCTGGTGCAAAATAACTTATCAGAACAATTAATATCACTCAGGTGACACTCTTAGAGCATTCTCCCTCTCATCAGAGTCTCTAAGGCAACATCAAACGGTCATCTCTGACTCCATGAGCAGATATAGACAGCGTGGAGTGGTGCATTTCATTTCCTCTCTGCTACCCTCACCTGCCTACACACAGAGGGCAAGCTGAAACATTTTACCCTCACCTTTGGAGTTGGAGACTCACATGGATCTCAACTCTCTCACCTATGTTAATACTTGAAAAAAATTTAAGCCATGGCATCATGATTCAGTTGGCTAATCCTTCCCATTGCAAACTCTGGGATCCCACAAGGACGCCATTCATATCCCTAACTGCTCCACTTCCCCATTTCCCTGCTTGTTTGGCCTGGGAAAACAGTGAAGGATGGTCTGCAACTGCACTTGCATGGGAGATCCAGAGGGATCTCCTGACTCCTGGCTTTGCACTGGCTCAGCTTTGGCCGGTGTGGCCATTTGGAGAGTAAACCAGCAGATGGAAGATCTTTTTCTCTGTCACTCCTCTATTTAAATCTGATTTTCCAATTAAAACAAATAAATCCTTAAAAGATTTAATTAAATAATTTAGAAAAATGCTATGGACCAATACTGTGGTACTCACTTCCCATAAGGGTGCTGGTTCAAGTCCTGGCTGCTCCACTTCTGATCCAGCTCTCTGCTAATGGCCTGGGAAAGCAGTGGAGGAAGGCCCATGTCTTTGGGCCATTACATCCCTGTGGGAGACCCAGAAGCTTCTGGCTTAGTATCAGATCTGCTTTGGCCATTGTAGACATTTGGGAAGTGAACTAGCAAATGGAAGATCTGTGTCTCTCTCTTTGCTTTTCAAATACAATTTTTAAAAAAAGATTTATTTTTATTACAAAGTCAGATATACAGAGAGGAGGAGAGATAGAGAGGAAGTGGAGCTGCCAGGATTAGAACCAGCGACCGTATGGGATCCCGGTGCATTCAAGGCGAGGACCTTAGCCATTAGGCCACGCCGCCAGGCCCTCAAATAAAAATTAATAAATCTTTCAAGAAAAAGAAAATATAATTGGTAAAAATAATCTTTATGAGAGCATAAGGTAGGAATAATTGTTTATTGTGTGTCCATTGGTAGCTACAGCTATACTCATAGATAGCAGTCACCAGAGTAGCATCTTGATTAGTAAAGATTGCAGTTTTGAGGCTCTGTAGTACGATTGATTTCTGCCACATTTATTCTTTCCACCACATCCTGAATATTGTCTTTAGGGCTAGATATGTTTATTTTGTTATTTGACCATCCTTCACAATGCTAGACCCCACCACCTGATCCAGGCATTCATGGATTTCAGATGCTTGTCAGCTTATCTCTTATCTTCCTTCTGAGTTTGATAGCTTTATTAGGAGATTGGATAGCCAGGGTTTGGGTAATACAAGGTATGACTTACAATGTCATCTGGATGGATTTTTCTTTTTAATGTAACAAATACAGCTAAGTTCACATTGGATTACTTTGGATTTCTTTTTCTGCTCTAGTTCAATGATCAGTTGATCAGCCCCAAGCATTTTGTTCATCTGGCGGGCAAATCCACCTTGAAGGACTGGAAGAGAGCCATTCGTCTGGGTGGCATCATGCTCAGGTAAGTGACTGCCAAGTTCAAGCCTCTTGAGAAACTTTGGGGCACTTAGTCTGATTGAATCTTGTCTTTTCTCCTCCTGCCCCCTTTTTTTGTTCAAGTTCTTTGTTTCCATTTTTTTTTGAAAGACAAAGAGAAAGAGAGACAGATTTCCCATCTGCTGCTTTATTCTGCTGTTTTCACAACAGCTGAGACTAGACTAGGTCAAAACCAGATCAAGAGAAACAATAGTAAGGACTCCAAAAGGCGCTCTGTCAAGCCGTGCAGGTGTATCAAGTGGCAGTGTAATTACTGTGCCACATGCCATCCCTCCTCCAGGAATTTTTAAATCCATCTTCCTGATATGTCTACCTTGGGAAGCAGCAATTAATCATTCAAACCCTTGTGGGATGCTAAGTGTGAGCCCTGGGCTCTTGGCTTCATTCTGGTTCAGCTCTAATTTTTATGTACACTTAGGGCATAGACTAGTAGATGAAAAATTTTCCCACTTCTTTCTCTTTGCTCTTCAAAATAAAAAGAAAGGGACAAGTGTGGTGGCTCAATTGGTTAATCCTCTGCCTGCGAGTACCAGCATTCCATGTGGATGCCTGTTTGTGTCCCAGCTGCTCCACTTCCTATCAAACTCTCTACGTGTTAGGAGGCCTGGGAAAGCAGAGGAGAGTAGCCCAAAACTTTGGGACCCTGTACCCATTTGGGAAACTTGGAAGAAGCTTCTGGCTTTGTTTTTTTGTTTGTTTGTGTGTTTTGTTTTTTAATGTTTATATAATTGACAGGAATAAACAAATGCCCATGAGGACCACTGAATAAATAGGGTGGGGAGGGTTGAGGTATGTAGGAAGGTGGGTGGAACAAATGCTTCCATTTTTCCTTTTCTTTCCTTTTCTCCTGTATGGGGAGGGGGAGGTGAGGAATTGGCAAGGGGCTGCCAGACTACATCAGTATGTGGGGATGGGGCTATCCACTTGATGCCATCTTAGAAACACTGATGTATAAGAGGATGTGTGGTCCTGACAGTGCGTGTCAGGACTGGGCCTCCTCAGTTGCTGATGCCTGTATAGTGGACATCATGTCCGGATGCACACGGGAGACATGACAGCCAGCTCATCTAGGCCAGCCGGGGATGTCAACTGCTTCCTCATAGGATAGAAGGCAAAACTGGTTGGACAATTTTCCTGGCCCAGCTTTGCAGCGTGTTCCTGGGTCTGTGGAGGAACTAAGATGGAATTTGTCAGCCATTAGACCTTGGAAAGATTTCTTCAACCCTTGAACAACGAAACCAACAACTTCTCAAAATTATCAAAACCACTCAAGTAACACCCTCGGAACATTGTTCTCTGCATTGGAGTCTCTAGGGAATCATCAAAGGACCATCCCCGCCTTTCCCTGGGGATACAGGAGAAAAAAAAACCAAAAGACAAGCATATGTCCTACCCACCTTCCTCCATGCCCACCCTAATCAGAGGCCCACATGGGCTTGTATACTTCTCAACTATGTAAAGAATTTTAAAAATAACATTTTTAAAAAGTGAGAAAATTTAAAAAATTAAATGGTCACAAACAAAAAAGCAAAATTAAAAATAGAAACTGATGCGGAGAAGAATTTGCAAGAGTATTGCTTGATTGATTTTGATAGTTTTGAGAAGCTGTTGGTTCTACTGCTCTAAAGTTCGCTGGCTGACAGAGTTCACCCCAGTGCATCCACTCACCCAGATACTTGCTGTCAATGTTTGGCCAGGAGAGTTGTCCAACCTATTTTGTTCTCCATTTTTCTTACTCAATGTCCTCTCGTGTTCCTCTTGTGCACTTGGGCATGCCATCCACTGCACAGGCATCAACAACTGAGGATATATGTAATCCAAGGTTGGACCACAAATCCTGTGATTCTTATGTGGCCGCAGTTTTGAGTCCAGTGGTCCAGTTGTGGAATCTCCCAAGAAACCTTACTTGAGGTGACCACAGACCCAACTCTTGCATGTGCCAGCCAGTACAAGGTCTAGTTCAGTACACCAGCTGTATCCTCTACACACATACGGTGATTATAGTTGCCTGGTCAGTTTGTCTTCAGCCCCACGTCCCATCACACCGATGGGTGCTGCTGCCTAGCCAAGCCCAGCATGCCAGAGAGGTCAGTTTGTCCTCAGCCCCACGTCCCATCACACCGATGGGTGCTGCTGCCTAGCCAAGCCCAGCATGCCAGAGACCTGGCTCTTATGTGCACCAACAGGAACTACAACCTAGTTGGGGTGATCCCCACTTAGCCCACCAGGCCTGCCCCCAGCCTCAGTTCCTGCATGTACTAGTATGTGCAGCAGACTAGTCCTATATGTGCCACATCCCAGTCAGACTCTTATATACACCTATGGGTGTTGCAGCTTAACTCAGCCTACCTCACCCCACGACCCAGTCCACACATAGGCTGATGGGTGCTGCCACCTTGTCCAGCTTGATGCACCCCCAGTCCTGGCTGTCATGAACACCAGCAGGAGCTATAGTTTCTCTACTAGGCCTAATCCCCATCCTGGATCTTGCACTTTTCTTTCTTTTCTTTTCCTTTCTTTCTGGTTTGTTTTTTTATTTATTTTTTGGGAAGGCAGTGGTTTTTTTTTTTGTTGTTTATTTCTTTTTAACTTTCAATGTCATTTTCCATGAACTATAAAAAAGAGATTTATTTTTTTATTTTCTTTTTTTAAATTATTTTTTATCTTTATGTATTTATTTATTAGAAGGTCAAATATACAGAGGAGAAGAGACAGAAAGGAAGATCTTCCACCCACTGATTCACTCCCCAAGTGGCCGCAACAGCCAGAGCTGAGCCATTCCAAAGGCAGGAGCCAGGAGCTTCTAAGTCTCCCACACAGCTGCTGAATCCCAAGGCTCTGGGCCATCCTCTACTGCTTTCCCAGGCCACAAGTAGAGAACTGGATGGGAAGTGGAGCAGCTGGGACACAAACCAGCACCCATATTTGAACCAAGCATATGCAAGGCAAGGATTTAGGCACTGAGCCATTGCATTGGGCCTGAATCTTGCACTTTCCAAGAGATACTGTGACCCAGCCTAACATGACTTGCATCCTGTCCCGGCACTTGCTAGCAGATGCTGTGGCAGTCAGGCCAGTTGTCACTTACCTTGGCCCTTGCATATGCCAGCATTGTAGTGGCTTGGCCTAGCTCATCCCTCACCTAGACCCAGCTCACATGCCTGCCAACAGTTGTTGCAGCTCTGCCCGGTCTGCCGCAAGTTCCAGCTCTCACACTCACCAGTAGGGGTTTGCACTGCAGCCTTCCCACAAGGTTCACTCCTGGCCTGGGGTCTTGTGTGTTCCAACGGGTGCTGTGGCTCAATTTGACATGTCCTGTCACACCTCATTATTGCTGGCCAGCCTGCCCCCAATCCCAGTTTATGCTGGCAGGTGGTGCACCCTAATCCAGCTTGGCTATCCCCCACTCTCGGCCCTAATATGACCTGGTGGGTATTGCATCTTAACCCCACCTGGCCCACACCCTGTCTTGACTCTTGCACTTGCCAGAGGTGTTGCTGACTGGCCTAGCCTGGCCTACTCCAGACCTGACCCACATGTGTGCTGATGGCCTGGCCTGGATTGCCCCCAGCCTTGGTTGTTACACTTACAAGCCAGGACTGTGTCTTTACAGGGGAGTTACCCAGGATCTCCTATCAGACCAGCTCCAAACTGTGGATTTTGTGCATACCAGTGGGTGTTTGGTTCAGCCTGATTTTGTCAACCAGTAGAGCTGACATTCACTAGTGGGTACTGTGGCTTTGACAGTCCAGCTTATATTCTCCCGTTGGTGGATGCTACAGCCCAATCCTTTCTGGCCCACCCTGCAGACCAGCTCACACTTGGTTCAGTGAGTGCTGCAACCTAGCTCAGCATGTCACATACCCACTCTGGCTCTTGGCTTTGGATTCGGTCAGTTCTGGCTGTTGAGGCCATTTGGGAAGTGACCTAAATCTTTCTCTCTGTCTCACTTTTTCTCTGTAAAATCTTGTTTTCCAATAAAATTATTTAACTTCAAAAAAAGAGGGGCAGAGAGATGGCTCAACTGGCTAACCCTCAGTCTGCAAGTTCTGAGATCTCATATGGGTGCTGGTTTATGTCCTGGCTACTCCCTTCCAGCTCCCTGCTTGTAACCTAGGAAAGTACCAGAGGATTGCCTATGGCCTTGGGACCCATTTGGGAGACCTGGAAGGGAATCCTGGCTCCTGACTTCAGATTGGTTCAGCTCTGGCCATTGCAGCCATTTGGGAAATGAACCAGCAGATGGAATATCTTTCTCTCCCTGTCTGTCCTTCTCTCTGTCAATCTACTTTTCCAATAAAAATAAATACATTTATAAAAAATTTTTTCAAAGCTCCCGTGAAGACATTTGCTGTGATACCATGGATTAAGTGACTGCTTGAGATATCCGTATCTTAAATTGGATGAGATTGTGTTCTGCCTCTGCTTACCATCAAGCTCCTGCTAGTGGGCCCCCAGGGAGGCAGCAGGTGATTGCTCAAGTATTTGGGTCTTTGATACCCACGTGGGAGACCTGGATGGTGTTCTTGCCTCCTGGGTTTAGAATGGCCAAACCTCAGCTATTATAAGCATTTGGGGAATGAATCCATGAATAGAAGCCATGCCTGTCTGTGTCATTCTGCCTTTCAGATAGATAAACAATCTTTTAAAAAAAAATCTATGTGAGAACAGAGAGGTTGAATTGAATGAATTCCCAATGTCTGGAATAGACATCCTGGATATCAGGATTATAGGCGAAGAAGCTGCCAGGGAGTAGGTGACAGTCCTGTTTGGGATTACCAAGCAGAGGCAGGGCTATGCCTGGTGCTGAGCAAGCATCGTAACCATGGAAAAGTGTGGGCTGACTGACGAAGCTTGGGATAATCTGGGAAATAGGAGGGTATTGCTGATAAATAACACTTGCACTTAGAACCATCCTTGTCCTAACGGTGCCACGGATAGAAACGATGTGCCAGTCCTCTCTCC